TGTAGTTTTTCAAGACAGGGTTTCTCTGTGTAGCTTTGACTGTCCTGGAACACACTTTGTAAACCAGGCTGGCCTCAAACTCACAGATATTCTCCTGGGATTAAAGACATGCACTTCGATGCCTGGCTACCCATCAGGTTTTTTCTTTGCTTTCCAAAAGCTGAGTCTGTGATGCACTTTTCTTCACATAGTGGACCTATTATACTGCACCGGGCAGCCTCTCAACCTCCTCTAGGATATGATGGTCCTCTCCTAGCTCTTCCACATCTCCAAGTGCACTGTAACTCCAGATGTTCCCCAATTATATGGCCATATGCCCAAGACATCCCTTATCTCTAGCCTTGTGTGGGGATGGTGGATATCTGTAGGCCCATGTCCCAACAAAGGACCCTTTATGACAGATGATGGGAGTGAGAGGGCTAGGTAGGAGGATGTGCATAACAATGTCTGACCACTTTCCCAAGCTTCTGCCACTAACCCCCTTTCTCCAAGAACTAACTGTGCACTGTCCCCAGGAATGGACATGATGACATTTAAAACATCTACAACATGACCACCTTCAAACTGTCTGTTACTCTATTGGCCTCCTTCCTGTTTTGCTTTGCTTTGCTTTGGTCCAGGGTCTCATATAGCTCAGGTTGGCCTCAAACTTGCTATTTAGTTAAGATTGGCCTTGAATTCATGAAACTCCTGCTACACCGCTCAAGTTCTAAGATTTCAGGTATGCTTTACTGCTTTAGGCTTTGTATTCTCATTTTTCAGACATTCATTCTGGCATAAGAACCTTAAATATATCAAGAATTTTAAGATACCCCAAAGTTTAAGTCAGAGATTCAATCCAGGCAGCATACAGTTGCATACCACAATGGTGTTGCCATCTTCACAGTAAGCTCGTCCAGCAGGGAGCTGGTATGTCTTTAAAATTTTTTTAATCATGGGCTGGAGAGATGGCTCAGCAGTTAAGAGCACTGGCTGCTCTTCCAGAGGACCCGGGTTCAATTCCTAGCACCCACATGGCAGCTCACAACTGTCTATAACTCCAGTTTCAGGGGAATCTGGCACTTTCACAGACATACATGCAGGAAAAAACATGGATGCACATGAAATAAAAATAAATTTTAAAAACCCTTAAGATTCTATAGATTTCTTTGTAAAATGCAGTTTGTTTCCATAATTGTAAATGCAAGTTTTCCCATACGTGTGTTCAACTGGCATGGATAGGTTGGGGGCAAAACTATACTGACTTTAGGTAAAATGTCGTCCCCTGCTATCCTTCTGTATAGTTAGTTCTGGCCAGTTTTTGCTAGAACATCCTGAGAGTTTTAGACAGAAGATGGCACCAACAGCAAGAGAAGTGGAGAGACAGAGAGTGCTGTGTCTTAAGATGCCATACTCACTATTATTTGCTTTTCTCATGAAACTGGGCCTCCAAAGCTGTGTTAGTGAACAACAATGCACCTGTCACACTTTATTGTAATAGAAGTACGTTCTCTTTCATTGCAGTTCTGATTCTCTCTATAGACCCTCTCTCCCAATATCACATTGGATTTTTTTTTTTTTTTTTAACTTTTCAGGTCAGGGTTTCTCTGTGTAGCCATGGCTGTTCTGGAACTCACTCTGTAGACCAGGCTAGCCCCAAACTCAGAGATCCACCTGTCTCTGCGTGCTGAGTGCTGAGACTAAAGGTGTGTGCTAGCGTTACCTGGGTAGGATTAATTTTTTTTTATTTCTTAGAATGATTATGAAACCCCTCCACTTTGATTTTCCTTCTTTGTGATTAAGGTTATAATTATTCATCCAGAACAGCTTTAGTCATAGACTTTATTTTTAGACATATAGTCTGTTAGATTGGGTTAATCAAATCATGGGGTGAAGATTTGGGGAAATAAAGATCCCTTTCTCTGCACTGAAACTGACCAGACTTTCCCTGCAGCTTCTGGGGGATGAGCTGATGCCCTGTACAAACACGACCAGGTGCGTGCATGGTCTTGTGACTCCCTAAAAGCCAGAGAACAGCTGCAGGGTGTCTGCTTTCCACTGTTTTCGAGCTTTTTATGCCTTCAGTTTAATATCCGCTTTAGTTGAAAGGCAAACTGTTTCTAATATTTGAACCTCTGGGGCTATAACCTCTGCAGTTTGATCTTCTGTTTAGAACTTGTAGTTTGATTAGATCAGGATCAAAAAACATGGTCTCTACCACCTCTAGTTTTAGTCTTTAGAGATTGAATACTCATTAGAGTTGTGGTGTCTCTGGTGTTTAGAAAGTACAAATACTAGTCCTACAGGAATTGGTCAACCAGCTTCCATAGGTCTAAGGTTGTTGCCATCCCCAGAGAATCCCAAAGCTGCCTTCTCATTATAGATCAGTCAACACTTAAATTTACTTAAATAAAAATCATATAATTCTTTTCTGGCTTTTTACACTCAGCACCAAAGAGTCGAGCTTATTTCAAGCTATTGGGCGTGTCAACCAATGGCCTACTTCTTTTTATTGCCGAGCAATACTTTATCCCCCACCTACACATTCCATGGTTCACTCACCCATTTGCCTGCTGATGGCCAGAGAAGTTATTTTGTTTTACTATTACAAACAAAACTGCTATAACTTTTGTCCCAGATTCATGTGAACTTAAGTTTTATCTCTGTTGGATAAATACTTGGGACTATACTTTTTGAATCACATTATAGGTGTGTTTAACACTGTAAGAAACTAAGCCAGGCAGGGGTGGAACACGCCTTTAATTCCAGCACTTGGGAGGCAGAGGCAGGTGGATCTCTGTGAGTTCGAGGCCAGCCTGGTCTACAGAGCTAGTTCCAGGACAGGCTCCAACGCTACAGAGAAACCCTGTCTCGAAAAACCAAAATGAAACAAAACCCCTAATAGTTCCATGGCAGAGTGCTTGTCTAGCATGTGAGGTCCTAAGTTCAATTCCAAGCACTGGGGGAGAAAGGCAGAGAAAGAACAAGCTGACGTCGACCCACTGTCCCCCAACTCCTGTATCATCTGTATCCCACCAGTATGTGTTGCTGTTTGCACATCCTGTCCAGCACTTGTATTGCCATTCTCTACTTGTTGGCGACTTAATCTGGAATTCCTGTGACTAAGCATTATTTCTACCAGCCAATCATACATTTCTACATACTATTTGCCACATATATAAGTTTCTTGGTAAAAGATCTGTTAAGACGTTTTTCATCCATGTATGTGTGTACACACATCCATTTGTCATTATGGGTTTGCGAATGTCACTGTGTGCGTGCACCACAGCCAGGGGTCACCCTGCCTTCCAGAGCTTCCTCCACAGTCTGAAGGCTCAGAATTCCCGTAACAGAAGTAGATCTTCCTTCAGAGCCCAGAGCCAGCCCAAGCAGAAATCCCTGGCATATAGGGAGGTTCAGGGAAGGCACACAGATCCGTAGTAGCACATAGCTGGCGTTCAGTAAAATGGAGATGGCAGTCTATGTGAAGGGTGGGATCCAGGACAGGTCTTAAATAGGCAGCTACAAGCCACACTGCCCCCACGGTCACACTCCAGCCACTGTTATTTTCTCTAGGACAGTGGTTCTCAGCCCTCCTATAGCTCTGATCCTTCAGTACATAACACTTCCCATGTTATGCTGACCCCCAACCATAAAATCTTCATTACTACTTCATAACTGTAATTTTGTTATGAACTGTAATATAAATATCGGTGTTTTCTGATGGTCTTAGTGACCCCTGTGAAAAGGTCATTCGACCCGCCCCTAAAGGGGTCGTGAATCACAGGTTGAGAATCACTGCTCTAGGAATAGACATAGACACCGGATTCAGTTATCTCTGCTTTAGAATGCCAGCACCTTTTCAGAGGGAGAAATAATTATGGGTTTCTCTCACTTAAGTGTAAATTAGCTTGTTCTAGTAGAGAATAAAATTTACATGAAGGCAGTCAGGATTGCAAGGTTTGTCCTTGCCTGCCCCAACACCTGCCAGAGACAGCAGTGCTAGAGGCAGCGAGAATCCAGTGAGTTACCTGGAAAACCACTGAAAGATTTCTTCACGACCCAACAACTTCCCTTGAGTCACTGACCCAGCATCTCCTTTGTAAGTTTCTAGATGCAGCTGAGAACTAACCAAGAAACTCATAACTTTCAATAAGATTCAAGATCTGTTCTGTCAGCAAATGTCTGTTTCAAGTTGGGTCTCTGTCTTCACCCTGACAGCAACGATACGTCCTCAGTCTCTCCACACCCTATCACCTGTGGTAGAGTTTCAGGCAATCAAAACATCCAAGGACATCATGCAGAGGAGAAAGGACGTCTGGCTTTGCTCTTGCTTGTCATGGTAATAGTGTTGTAGGTACTCCAGAGACACAAAAACTAGGGAGCCAGCACCCACGCTGAGATCTTGTAGGGCTTAGTGCCCCCATCCTGGATGACATGATGTCTGGGTGCAGTGGGCTTAGGATTGCTCATTGGGTCAAGCTTTAGTATGTAATTACAGCCTCCGTCCTCTGGGCTAAACTGTAAGGCATTTGGGGTGGTTTCTGTAGAGCCTGTGACTCAAGAGCTCATGAGAAGATTGGTACCTAGCGTAGGGGCAATTAGGGTCATGGGCGCATGCCTGGTGCCTACTTTAGTGACCAATATTGCCCACCAGACATTTGTTCCCTGACTGTTTATCATCCGTGTATCTGCTCATCTGGGTTTTCCTTCCACCTTCCAGAGCCAAATCCTCTGCCCGACACAAGCCTCAGGGATGCCTCTCAGAAGCACATGGATGAGCAGACACATCAGTGCATCTAAGCACACATATGCAGTAACATGTTCACCGATAAAAAGATACACGGATAAGTATATGAACATGCACCTACAAGACAACTACTTGCACATATATCTGCAAGTATGCACACAGCCAGAACACCCACTGGTTCCCACAAGGGATGGGCACCACTGGACCCATGGCCGGCAGAAGGGACTGGGAACGCTGAATGCTACTGTCTGACCTCTGCCTTTGTTCCTAGGGGCCACCAAGGACATGGGGAAGATGCTTGGGGGTGATGAGGAGAAGGACCCTGATGCTGCCAAGAAGGAGGAGGAACGGCAGGAGGCACTGCGGCAGGCAGAGGAGGAGCGTAAGGCAAAGTACGCAAAGATGGAGGCAGAACGTGAGGTCATGCGGCAGGGCATCCGAGACAAGGTGAGCAACAGATAGGTGCGGGGACGTAAAAAGCCGAAGGGTCCTGAAGCGCCCGTGCCACTACAAGACCGTAGCTAGCTGGGAACTAAGCTGGAGACTTAAAAACACATAGACAGAGACACCTCGGACACGGGTCAACCTGGATACAAGAATGCCAAACTTTATTGTGCTCAAAGGCAGCTTATATAGGGATCGTTAGCCATGCCCAGCTCTCGGGATCTTTCAGCTGCAAGCTCATCAGGCTCAGAGCAGCTGCAAGCACAGCTAGTGACTGTCTCCGGTGGATGGGGTAGCCAGAAAGCAATGTGCCTATTCATGGTAGAAAAACTGAGGCTCCATGGAATCCTGAATTGAGACCCACGTACAGCCACATCTTTCAAGAGGATGGCCTGTGCCCATTCACCCTCCAATCCGAGTAGGGTGGTGAAGGCTGGACAGAATCCTGAAGAAGTGGTTGCCTGCTTATCAGTGTGCAGCTGAAGCTAGCAGCTAGGTGGGAGGATCCTGCAGTAAAGCCCTGCTCTTGTCCTGTGCCATGGGGAGGGCAGAGCATGGTAGGCGTGTGTGACCCCTGCTCACAGGCCAGGAGCATGGTGGAGACAGTGATTGTCCGCACAGCAGAGAGGCCATGAGAATAAACACGTCATCTAAATCTTGGGTGGGTGAGAAGCAGGGAGTGGTCACATAATCCTCCAGTTCTGGACTTGATGAAATGCTAGACTGGAGAGTGGACAGCCCAGGTTCTAGACCCCTTTGCTGCCTGTGCATCCACATCAAGTTCTCTGTTGATACGTCAGATCTTTGGGATTCATGGGAAAGGAAATCTGTATCTCTTTAGGTGGCTGAGCAAATTGGGTCCTTCATCTCCCAAAGAGCCAAATGGGAGGCTGGCCTCTCCTCTCCACCCGTGTTCTACCCTCAAGATCCTAACATACCCTTACTCCACACTTGGTACAGAATGCTGTTTGGGGGTCTGGACTATGCACCTGCCTTGGAGCACAGTTACTGGACAGTTTCTTCAAGCCCTGTAGAAAGTTCCTGCTCATTTTTCTTTGATCCTACCTTCCACAGTCAGTGAGTTATTACCGTGGTTAGCAAGATGTGCTATTGACCATGTGAGCAACGCAGTGGCAGACCCCTAAATTAACTGTAATATGGAAGGATGGGGGTGAGCACGAGAAACAGAGTTAGACAGATACAGTGCTGAGAGGGAAACAGTTTGGAGGGAGGGACAGAGAAGCAAGAGAGAGCTGAGAGTCACAGAGGTCTCTCCCTAGGTAAAGCCTAGAGAGAGTAGCTATCCAGCCAGGACAGAGCAAGGTTGGGGTAGGGTGCCGTGCTAGATGCCTAGGTGTGCAGAAGCTCTGGCAAGTCCAAGGAGGGGGGCTGGGTTTTGGTTTCAGGGGAGTCCTGTGCCTGGCTCAGTCCCCCCTAGGGAGTCTCTGCCAGATATCACACCACCCACAAAGACTTTGACCTCTCAGTATATTTAAAAAAAAAAAAAAAAGGACTCAAGGAAGACCCTACAGGGTACCTTCTCCACTTTTCTGTTTTCATACATTTTCCTGGAAATTGTGGAGAAATTCATTCTTCAGAACATCAGTTCTCAATCTGTCAGTCCTGACCCTTTGAGGATAGAATGACCCTTTCACAGAGGTCACCCGAGACCATCAGAAAACACAGATATTTACATCGTGACGTATAACAGTAGCAAGATTATTTCTGAAGTAGCAATTAAAATAATTTTATGGTCAGGGATGGGGGGGATCACCACAACGTGAGGGATTGTATGAAAGGGTTGCAGCATTAGGAAGGCTGAGAACCACTACTTCAGAAAGTTTCAACAGCCTGTGCCAGACTAATTATGAAGAAGAAATGGAGAACATTCAAATGAACCCCATAGGCAGGATAGGCCCGAGGGTAAAGTTGTAGGGGTCAAAGCCCCAGGCATGTCCAGATGCTCTGGGCCCTGTCCGAACTCAGCCTGTCCTGGACAGGGTGGTACAGAGCTGCCATGCTCCCGACACCCTCCTGCTGCTGGACCACTGCTTGGACACCCCAAACTCTAATAGTTCTTTTCTTGTTTTGTTTTGTTTTTGAGACAGGGTTTCTCTGTAGCTTTGGGGCCTGTCCTGGAACTAGCTCTTGTAGACCAGGCCGGCCTCCAACTCACAGAGATCTGTCTGCCTCTGCCTCCAAGTGTTGGAATTAAAGGTGTGTGCCACCACCGCCCGGCTACCTAGTAGTTCTGACTCTTGGGCCTTTGCTGCTGCTGCTCCACCTTCCCAGCTCCCACAGGAGTAAATTCTGCCTGTTGGGTATGACTTTTCAGCCCTCACTGGGCAGCCCCTGCTACTCACTAGGACTGGATCCCCAACCTTCCCTGGACTGTGTCTCTCTGGTCGGGGATTGATAGGTTGAATGGTGTTGCAAGGCTTTGCAGTGATGGGGGAGGGGCCAGTTTTCATATCCATATGATGTGAGGCCCCAGTAACCCATTCAGAAAACTGGACATGGCCATTCGGGAGTGTCTCAAGAGGTGGGGTGTTTCCTAGAGAAGGATCCATGTCTAGTAGGAAGTCATCTAAGCAGGTACTTGATTTGCATACCTACCATCCAACTTCTATTTCCACAGCATCCAGATCTGCACACACACCTTCAGGTTTGCATATGTACCACCCGATTGGTGCCTGCTTTCAGCCACCCACAGTGAACCGTTTGTCGAGCCAGAACCTTCCTCCTGGTAAAGAGACAAGGCCCAGGTGTAGAGCTGGCATGTTTGAGGCCCCAAGCTTCTGTACTCAGACTCTCTCATCTGTATGATGAGGAAGGATGTGCGGTGAATACCAGCTAGAGTCGTTGGCTCTTACCCACTGACAGCGCTAGAGGCTTCTTCTTAACAATGTTCTTAGGTGTTCTGTTGACCCCCCTAACCCAGTCCCCAGTCTTCACCTGGCTCTGGAAGCCACCCAGGATGTGCCTTCTAATAAACCTGACTGACACCCCCTGTGGTCCTGTCCTTGGGCACCTGATGTAATGAATACCTGGCCGGGGTTAGCCTGGCATTTATCAATGGAGTCCAGAAGACCAGAACAGACCACACAAGTGGAGTCTGGTTCTGGGATGTGGCTTGGATGGCATTCTCGAGCAGAATAACCATGACTTTCCCTGAGATAGAGCTCAAAGTGGCTTCAGAACGACCTTGAATCTCAGCGGAAGGACTTGCTTTCAGGTAATTATCACACACTTGTCTCCAATTGTAGCCGTAGGCAGCTCAGACTCTCAGATTGCCCATGGACCCCACCTGGCCTATCCTTCTGCTCTTCCCCTGGCTGGAAGCTGCTCTGGCCTGACCCAGTTTCTGGAGACATCTCTCCTGGCTCACACACACACTACCCCACAGAACACTGAGCCACGTGTTCCTCTTCTGTACCACAGGGGCTCTGCCTGTATGGGTAAGGTTTTCCCAGAAGGTGACCTGCAGTGGGACCAGTGCCAGGTTGAAGATGGGGGTGGCCCCCTAGTGTTTGCCTTTCATGCCAGCTGAAGCCCATCACTTCTCTGGCTGGTACTGGGAGGCACCAGGGAAAATGACATTCACTGCCGTGCGTTTTCACCTGGTCAACAAAACTATTCTCAGTTCTGTTAGGGGATGGAGGGATGACCAAAGAAGCAGAAATGAGCCCCATTTGTTTTTTATTAGGGACACTTGTCTCCTCTGGTCTTGACTGAATTTGACCGTTGCCTCCTCCACCAGGAGAGAATAAAAGTGCCTTTAGCAGAGGATGAGCACCCAGGCAGATCCCCATCTGAAAACAGATCACATCATTTCTTTGGATCGGGGCTGGTAGTGAAATAAGTCAGGAGTATCTGTGTTCCCTTATAAGCAGGAGAAACAAAGTTATGAGTTTGTAGAGTCTGCATGCTTTCAGGCTTCCAGGAAGGGTGGTCCACCGTAAAAGGGGCTGGAAACGGAGCCAGGATTAGTGCTATGTCGGTGGATGGGTGGGGTCCCAGGATAGACTCCAGCAGGGAGCCCTAGCAAGCAGCCCCTTCTTACCTCTGTGATCTCATGCACCTCTTTTATTTTTTGTTTTTGTTTTTAAATCATTATATAATATATTAGATGCCATTATAAACAAAGTGTGTTTTGTGATTTTCCCCACCCTCCTGCTTCAGTTCCTCCCTTGTAGCATCCCCAAATTATTTTTTTATATTTATTTTTATTGTTTATAATTATGTGTAGGATCATGTGTCTACACTGTAGGTGTGTGCACATGAGTGCAGGTACCTGAAGGGGTAGAGGTTTCAAGTTCCTTAGAGCTGGAGTTACAGACACTGGTGCTGGGAACCAAAACCAAGTCCCAGTCTGAAAGAGCAGCAAGTCTGATAACTGCTGATTCACCTCTCCAGCCACCCCCAGACTTTTTTTCTCTTTCCAATCCCATGTGTCCTCCAGGCACCTCTTAGTTGTCCCATTTTCTATATGGTTTTCCAAAACCTGAGCGGGATCAGTTCTGGAGCCCTGGTGAATAGGATGGGCCTGGGACTCAGCTGGAGTCTTCCCCAGCTGTGAGAACCACCTGGTTGGTTTCTCTGTGTAGAAGGACCTGGCTGGGTACTGGGGAGGGGAGTATGCAAGCCCTGCTTGATTACCCTTTCCTTCACAGTATGGCATCAAAAAGAAGGAGGAGCGTGAGGCTGAGGCCCAGGCAGCCATGGAAGCCAACTCAGAAGGCAGTCTGACTCGACCCAAGAAGGCCATCCCTCCAGGCTGTGGGGACGAGCCGGAAGAGGAGGACGAAAGCATCCTGGACACTGTCATCAAGTACCTGCCTGGGCCACTGCAGGACATGTTCAAGAAGTAATGATCCTGCCTCAGCGCCAGGAGCCCCGCCCACTGTACAGACCCCCTCGGAGCCCCCCCCCACAAGGGATGTTGGGAGCAGATGCAGCCCCCCCTGCAAAAATAAGCCATAGTCCTAGATCTATCCCGCCCATGTCCCCCTCGCGCCTCGGGAGCCTCTGGCCACCCCTCCCCGCACTGCCATCATTGGCCCCACCAGGCAAGGGTGTGACCCTCAGGCCCCTGTGCTGTGCATCCTTGCCTTTGGGTGGTTGGACCCCTCCTTACTGATCTTGAGTTCACCATTCCCACTGAGCCTGCCCAAGGTCAGGCCCCGAGGGCCAGCCCTGACCACCCCTGGGGTGCCATCCCACCGTGGGTGGCTACCAGTCAGGGCCTAAACTCAGGAGCACAGCCATAGTGGGGTGGGACTTGGGGAATGAGCCGTGGGTGCCTGGGGCCCCAGCCCTTCCCTGAGCCCATGGCCCCAGTTTCTGGACTTGTTGGACCTGCTGGACCATTAGCTCTGTCTTCCTGTCTGCGCTACCACCCTAGTCTTCACCGGCGGCCCTCGCACATTCTGTCCAGCTGTCTCTTTCTCTGTCGCTCGGCAATGCCACAGCCAGGGGGAACAAAGCAATAGATTGGACGTGGGTGGGTCTCAGACATGCTTTGAGTCCCTCGATACCCTCTGTAATGCACACTTTCCAGAGTCCCATCTCTCCCTGACCCCATCTCTCCCTGGTGGCCTCCTGTTCTCTTCATGGAGGGCAGGCAGTCTTCTAGGGAACTCCTGGCTTTACCACTACAAAATGCCCCACTTCCTAAGAGCCCAGGGCTCTGGGGATCCGTGTGCAGAACAGACAGAGGGCCAGGGGATCAGGTGTCCCACCCTCTCCACTATTCCTCCTTTGAAGGGCTGACGGTGGCCCACACGTGCAAACTCCTGGGCTCGGGCTGTGGTATTCTCTTCTGTGTGTGGCCCAAGGGCAATAAGACCCAGTTACTCCCCTTTGCCCAGCCAGCAGCCTTTGTTCTTCATATTCGTTTAATTTACATCATAATATGTTGAATCTCAGGTAAATGAGGTCTGTATTTGTTAAGTTTTATCTTGACAGAAAGGCCAGCCTGGTCTTCCCGACCCTTCCTATCCACATTAAAACTGCATTAAGTGTCCATGAGTTTTGGGCCAGGTGTGTGGCTTGGCATTGACCTTCATGACCTTACATAGCTCTTTAGAGAAGCCATAACAACTAGACTGCAATACTAATCAGAACGCCCTCTGCCCAAAGAGATGAAGCATGCTCGGCCCACAATACCCTGCTCACCTGGGCCACTCTCTGCATCTCTGGCTGGTTTGATTGAAAAGCCAGCTCTGAGCAGATGGCCTTCTCTTGAGTTAACCCTGCATCCTGTTCTTAGCGCATGGGGCACCGGGCCGCCGCGCTTAGTATAGCCTATGTGTTACCTGTCTGTCTGTCCTTGTACCTGCACCTCCTGCATGTCAGAGGCCTCACATGTTCTCTCTGAGGGAATCACAGCCAATAAACAGTGATTTCACACCGTGTGGCTCTTCCTTCTTGGGTTTCCATTCTCCCTGGGGGAGGGGAGGCTTCCCTCACATTGGGGACAAACACAGAGTGTCCCCTAGGTCCTGACTCAGATTTACTGCTCCAGCTTATTCTCCAGAGGGCAAAGCTGTCCCTTCAGAACCCCAGTGCCCAGGGTGGGCCTCCAATTTACACAACGTTCCTTCCCCCACAGTTCTGCCAGGCACTGGTAAATCCAGACTACACTGCTTCCCAGGCCTGGACCCACCAGAATTTCCATAGTTCTGTTCCCCTGCCCAGCCCAGGGCGATGTCCCTATACCCTGGGCACACCTTTTGAGATCACTGTCAACTCTGCTGAACGGTTGGAAGTGCTCACAGCACCTGCCAGCTCTCCGTCCTGCTATATTTTATCAGACTCTGGTCCATCTACCTCATTCTGTGGGTCTGCAATCCCAATTTGCCCCATGCTTAGCCCAACCCGAGATGCCATGGCCACGTCTGTCCTAAAAGAGCCCTTGTTCATCTCTCTTTTGGGGCATCCCTCTTCTAGGAGACAGCAATGGTGGAAATTCCAACCAGCAAAACCTGCTAGTCTGAGCAGAAAGGCTACACGTATCTCACTCTCGCTTGCTGGGGTGGGTGGAGGTGAAGAGAAAAGTGGGAAAATGGGGTGATTTAGGTGATTCTCCTGCTCTCCTCCAAGTACAGGAGAAGTATCTCTCATGTCCCTCATGACTCTGGAGGAAGAGATCCACCCCAAGTCCTACCACCTCCTCCAGGCACATCCCAGCTGCTGGGGCAGCAGCTACTTCTTTTTCCTGGAGGTGTACCTAAGACCCCGATCTCTGAGTCTAGACTCTGGAGCTTTGCAGAATGCTGTCACCCAGAATGGATACTCTTCCAATTAGTCACCTACCTGTCATCTGGTGCTCCACCTCAAGGTTGTCTGGATTCCACCTTGGGCCTAAACAATGACCTGAATGTTTTAGCTGATGGAGAACTTGATCAGTTGGTCACCCAAGGATTTGATGGGTTAGATCCTGGCAGATTATGTTATATTATCTTCTAGGCCTGGAACAACTGAGGTCCCTTCTCTTTTTTAAAAAATTTATTTATTATGTATACAGTGTTCTGCCTGCATGTGTACCTGCACCCCAGAAGAGGGCACCAGATCTCATTACAGATGGTTGTGAGCCACCATGTGGTTGCTGGGAATTGAACTCAGGACCTCTGGAAGAGCAGTCAATGCTCTTAACCACTGAGCCATCTCTCCAGCCCAGGTCCCTTCTCTTGTAGTTGTGTGTGTAAGTGATGGGAGACGTGTTGAATAGACACTGTAATTAGTGATTTCTGGTTGGAGGAAAATGGGTATGGAGTTACAGGAACTGGAACTGCTATTCATGAGTGTTGTGGTTACTGTCAGGAGTGACACAGAGAAGAGGATGGGAGGCAGGAGTCATGTGGGCACTCTCCATGCATGTGCTTGTGTATGCATGGAGTGTGTATATTCCAAGTTAAGGGACAGGCAGCAGGGCTAGGGAAAAGTTGTCCTGAAGCTGTAGGACATGATGTTCCTACAAAACCCCCACCTGCCAGCCTAGCCCCAGACACTGGAGGTGGACCTTCTGGATGTTGACTTATCCTGAACACTTTTGGCTGATTTTACCTCCAGTTTCTAGTAAGGCCATCTGTAGGCAGCTAGCCCCGCAGCCAGCAGATATATGTCTATTCTGACTTGTGCTCCACTCTCTAAGACCGAGAGGCAGAGCTGTTTTCAATCACAAGCTTTCTGACCATCAAGGCATTCCAGAAAACTAAAAAGACCTGCAATTAAGAACCATTTTGTCTCTCCCTGCTAATCCGCAGTTAGACAAATCCTGTTGTCCAACGTGAAACCAGCAGGGCCAAGGACTCCTGGGTCTGCGCCACCTGTCCACACGTTTTGGACACTGGCTGCTCTCAGGACTTAAGTGCTGAAAGAGGGCCAGGGCAGAGGGGCAACGGGACAACATGCCAGGTCTCCTGTAGGTGTAGAGGAGGGGTACCCATAACCAAGCCCAGTTCAAACCGGCCACTGGTGGAAGGGTGCAAGGTGCAGAGGGTGGGACTCAGCATGCAGTGTGGGAATCACAGAAGAGGCTTGATCCAATCACCGCGCTCCACTGAGGGGCGCCACGATTGGTTCCAAGATGATCACATGCAGATCCTGCCCAATCAAAACTAGAAAGCCGCAGTTGCCTAGAGAAAACCTCGTCTGCGCTCCTCCCTCGTCTGGTCTCCTCCACCCTTCCCGGGGTGGGACCCTGAAGGGGGGTGGGTGGGTGGTGGTGGTGCTGTGTGTGCGTCTCAGTACCTCCTCCTCGCCACCTTTCACCGCCGTACCCCACTCCTACCCCCGCCTTCGCATGACATTGCCCTTTCCGAACCTTTAGTCCCCTGTTCCTATCTTCCCCTTCTCCAACATCATGGGTTAAGTGCTTAGTACCCTCCTTGGGTACAGAGCTCCCTAATCCCCAGAGGTCTCGAGCAAGGCTCTCTCTTTTCTAAAGCAATTAAATTTGGCTTACTCTGACCCTTCACAGGTATTAAGTCTTGGCCTTTAGCGTCACAACAGATTCCAGCCCACCCATCCTAGTCTTCCCTCTTCATAAATGGGGGCAGTAGTGGGGTTGGGGGTCAGACAGAAGGGCCGGTGGGATGTTCACTGGACAGGGTCCTGTACCAACCAACATTTTTTTCCATGGGTAACTGTGCTCTTCCGCCCGTCCCCCCCCCCCCCCCCCCCCCCCCCCCCCCCCCCCCCCCCAAATTACAGCTCGCTGCTGCCAGAGGCTGTTCCCTTCCTTTATCCCCACAATGATTTGATCAAGGAACAGGAAAATACGGTGCAAGAGAACAGACTGGAGCAGCGAGTAGCCCTGGACATTTCAGAAGTCTAGTTCTGGCTGTGCACATGAGGGCTTTCTGGGCCCCAGGAATCCTCCTTTCAACCTTCATGCGAACCCTGAGCCGGCCTCCCCTCTGACCTGGGTCAGACCAGGCTAAGAGTAAGCCAGGAACTCACTACCTGTGCTAGCTCTGGATAATGATGTATGTGTGACCAAGTGTTTTCTGGGGGGGGCTGCCATACTCTATGAAGGTGTAGGCCCATGTTTCTGGGGGGAACTTGTAGGCCCAGCACTGTACAAGTCCCTAAAGCACCCCAGTATTGGGGAGGGTGTGGTAGGTAGGTAGGTGGAGAAGGCTGTTTGGCAGGGCGATGAAGCTCAGGGAAGGCCCATGGCCAGCAGAGGCATAGACCTTTCCTTTGCTTGTCTTGCATCAGGGCTCACACATAATCCTTAACACCCTCCCACAGAAGGAGCCCAGGCCAGACCCAATATCCGATGCTTCTAATGAGTCCTTGGAGTTCATCACCCAAACGTGTGTGGGCTCAACATGGCTCCAGGTGCAGGAACCGCTGCATTTCTGAGCCCCTTTGGCTATCCTCCCCTACCTGACTGGGATAGCAGAGACAGTTTAGTGAGGCTTTAGGCAAAGTGGCAGACTAACCATCTGAACCCCCATTCCAATATAAGAAACAGAAATAAACAAAATTCATCCACCAGGAAAAACCACCTAGAGCTGGAGCAGAAAGGAAGAAAACCCTCAGTGAAGTGCCGTCATAGCTATGTGGTCACGGCTGAGTGTACCCGGTGGTAGAGGCCGAACTGAATTACAACTCAGATGGGACGATGTGCACAGCTACACACAGACACACACACAACCAAAAACTGAGTAAAGGCATAAAGAGAATAGGTGAGTCTCCCATTGCAGAGGATGCCACACAGTCTAACCTGCCTTCTTCTGTTAAAGCATGGCAAGCTTCCCCTTCTAAAAGTGAAGCCTTTGCAGGAGGATTTAAGTCTAAGGAGTAAAGCACAAAGGATTTCGCCATGATTCCAGGTAGTCAAGATGGCTGTCACTAGTACTGTGTCCTGTGGCCAGCACAGACTGATTCCTGGCTGCCTGTGGACGCGTCAGAGGAACTCCAGGGAGCACTGAGTTTGTGGAATATGTCCCAGAGGATAACAAAGCTACTCTAGCTGCGTCCTGGAGAGGCGAAGCCCCGGGGCGAGGAAGGGGGTGTGTTCCAGAAAGCTCCTGGCTTTTGCTGTGCTTCTCTCTGTTTGCTGTGCACCTGCTGCATTTGGTAAGGTGTGATTACTTTCTTCTTGGGAAAATCCCACTCCTCAATGGGAAATTTACATACAGATCATAATAAAGACAATTTTTATAAGAAAAGTTGATTAGTTAGACCTACGACTTAATTGGACTTTTTGACAGTAAAGATGATTAGGAACATGATTTAGGTTATTCTGCCAATTGCTTCAATAAGAGATACATAAAAGGGAAATATAGGCTGAAAGTTACCTTCCCTTTTGTTAGCTGTGAGCTTTTGCAGAGGCCAGAAATTACAGAGGCACAAATTCTGCCTGTGGACAAACAGGCTGATGAGCAAAGAAAACAGTTGTGCCCCTACACCCTTGGTCATGCAGCGTACAGAATTAATCACAGGCCTGGTGTGCACCTTGAAAAAACAAAGTTGTGAAAGTAAATTAAATGACCCTATTGTGTGCAAAGAAAAATAGATGGCTAGCTGACCACCGGTTTAAAGTTTCTCCAGAGTGGAATTAAGAAAGAAGCCCGCTACACTGAAGCCACAAACAGCTGCCTGCCA